TAAAATAAAATCAATGCATTGTATTAAAAAAAAAACAATGGATTTGATTAAAAAAAAAAAAAAAAAAAAAAAATCAGCGGTGCAGTTCCTTCAATTTACACCATCTTAAGCAAAACAGAAAAATTCCAAAATAAATCAAGTTTGGGGGTTTTTCTTTGCCAGTGTCAGTGTTTGGTTGGGGTTTTTTTTGTTTGTTGGTTTGGTTTTTTTTCAATCAAATTAATCTAATTGGAAAAGTAGTCTTAAACTTAGGAGCAGTTGAGGCAGAAGGTCGGAAAATAAACCTGAGATGTTCTGGTATCTCGGAGCAACATTTAGAAATTAGCAATGGGAGGGCAAAGACAGTCTAAGAACAACTCAGTTCCCAGCGTGCAGTAAGATCTGTGCAGGAGGACACGGCTCTATAGGGCTCAGGATGGGAGCAGGGCCCACCCTGATGGATCTAATTACAACTGTTAGGCGTAAGTTTGCTTTCCATTTGTGAAAGCTTTAAATTTATTAGCTAGAGGTGATGAAGAGAAACTGTCTAAAGAATTGAGAGGGAAAATAAGATAAGGGGTTAAGGTTTCCTCCTTCCCTCATCCACTGAAAATCATTTACCTGTGACTTTAATACAGTGCTTGTAAATGATGCACATGGGCCTGACAGGGAGTGTGATTTGGCTCCAAGACTGAAGGTAGTTAGAAATAATGGGAATGCATTTTACAGTCAGTCCTGCAGAGGAGCAGTGATGATGGCAGAAGATGGATGGCTGTATACTTTCCTTTTGCCTCACTAGACACGCAGCAAGGATGGCAGCAGCTGCACTACCCAGTTTGGTGCCACAATCAAATGGTTATACAGGGCCAGTCTCCTGCATGGAAAGCACTAACCCATGTTAAACAATTTTCAGGGAAACTTTCCATCAGTAGTGTTGATTTTCACACAAGCCAAATTCATATACGGAAGCAGAATTCCCATTTAACTTCTTTTCCACCTCTGAAAAATTTTCTAGCCTTGAAAATATATTAAAAGAAATCTTACTTTAATAAACTTTTAGCCAATCTTGATACTGAGTTTGATTTCCCACGGGAATGCTGCTCTACTTGTCTACTTGTATGATTTATATGACTAGCTGTCATAAAACTTGTTTGACCATGCCTGTTATCTTGATACACCAGACTGTGGTATTGATTTAAATATTGTAAATATAACACAAATATATTTATAGAACAATCGTGCAATGAAACAAAACCACTCATGTTTAAAAGCCAATAGAAGTAAAGGCTGTTTTCCCCAGGCTTCTTTAGAGACAAGTGTCACCTTATCTCCAAAGCAGTCTCTATTGATATGTCTATTTATCTCCTTTCACAAATTGCTTTGTGTTTTAAAGACTGTCCTTCTAATATAAAATATATGCAAATAGTTTTCTGCTCAACTACACTGTTTATAGATTGAAAAAAGGTTTACTAAACACTAAAGCAGACACACCAACTTTTAATTCTGATTCCTTGCCAATATGTGGATGCTCCAGGCAGTATTCAAGCAGAGCTTGCAAACCCTTAGAAAAGGAAGCTGGTAGACAGTTGATAAATGTTTTGGCTTAAAATTTGGAATGGTTGCATAAATCATGGCCATGAATTATTTCCTAGATTGGAGAGAATAAATAAGGCAAATTTACAGAGCTGCCTACCAGGGACTGACTTGCACCTGTCCCTGTGGGATGATGCCCACAAATAGTTTGAAACCCTTGCTCTTGAGAGACTTGGCACTTACACAAAAGCGTGTCCAAATGTCGTGGCCTGTGACAGTTTAAGAGGGCACCTAATTAATGGGCAGCTCTTATTATGAATATTGGGTAAAGGAAAGGGGGGAGAGGAAAGATTCACTGAGTGATTACAATAAATTACAGGAAGTAATTATATGAGGGAGGGTTATTTTATTAGTCAGCAGGAAAACTAAAGGTTGTTAAATTTAAATGCACTAGTAAAGGTCTTCGGCATCGCAGTCCTATCCTAGTCATCCACTGGGATCAGTTAATGAGTGGATGTAGTCTTCTCCTTGTGAATATGAAATTTTAAACAGGCCAAGACAAACCTATCTTACAATGACATGACCATATACTCCAAGGAAGCCACAGCTGATGTAATATATAGGACTTTGACTATTTAGAAGTACAATAAAGGCCTTAAATCATTAGTCGTGGAAGTCTGTTTCTATACCGACAAATTCCATTAGGCTGAAGTGCTCCAGCAACCTTCTCTAAGCTGAGTCGTGTGTTTAATTTGGTGATCATATTTGTTAAGAGTGTATTGTGAGGCTACACTCTCACCAAGTGAGGAAATTTCTCACTTTGGTAATCTAATAATCTTAAAATAGCTCAAAGAACATTTGACCTGAAAAAAAAAAGCCTGGGAGCTTGCTACAGCACTGCCTCTGGAAAACCTAGCTATGTATCTCAGAGACTGCATTGACAAAAAAATGTAAAGCTGAGGTTTTTTTAACATTCAAGTGTTAGCCAGTTTCTGATTTCTCAGCTGCTTGCTCCTGCATGTGCTGTTTTTAACTGGCAGGACCTATGAGAATAAGGAGTATGAGATCATTCATGTAGATTTCTTCTTTTGGAAATGTCAGAAGAATACTGCTTAGGTACCCATAGGATGTTGAAGCCTTAAGCCTCTTTTTTTCTCTGCTTTCTACGGTAGTCCACCACCAAGTTCCCCAAAGGTTTCTCAGAGAGTCCTTCCAGTGGTACCTTACAGAATGTAGTAAGTCCAAGGTTCACCTTGATTAATTAATTACCTTCAATCCTTCATGCCTTGGAAATTACTTTGAGAACATGCATTTGATGGACATGTGAGGTTCCAAATTCTTACTGGTAGAGCATGTACCAGTAAAAGCAGTGGTATGGTACTGTTATTGGTACCAAATACTCCTGCCAATAATATAGTACGTACTTGTACTCACTATACAAGTACTGCCACCAACTCAGGTGAGTTCTTGATCAATGAAAAATCTTTAAGAAGCAGCTAATTTCACAATAAGGTAAACCTGTTACCATCCATATCTCCTGGCTGCAAATAAGTTGGGTGCAATGAGGAACAACCAGTGTTCAACCTGTATGTATTACTTTTCCAGAGCTCATTTCTACTTGTGAACTCTGGCTCTATCAGGACACAAGACTTCAATATTTTCAATATTTTTTATGTTCCTCAATATTGATCCATCAAAAACCACATTTATTCCACTGTCAATATAATGTTGTTCAGAGTTGCTAAACTTATTTTGTAATACAACCACAGAGCTGCATTTGTAATCACTGCATTGTAAGAACATCTTTGAAACAATCTGGTCTTAAACAGAATAATAACCTTTCTAAACGTGAGCCTCCTAAGAAATTTTCCCCAAACCACATATCTTTTGAAAGTGCAAAAATATTTTAGGTTTGCTTTTTCTTTTTTTTTTCAGTTGGCAGCCACAGAGTGCATTCTGATTAAATTGTGTAATATCCAGTCAAATAACAGATCAAATAAAAAGGACACTTAATACATGTGTAAATCATTTGAATTACAAATAAGACACTCTAGAAGGGGCTTGGCTCTGGGTTTGATATAGAGGATTAGGCTCTTGCATTAATACGTGCACTTGGTGTAGCTATTTTCAGAAGGATACTTCATCCATCATTGTCCTCGAGCACTAAGGAGGGCCAGTAAGTAAAATGATCACATTGGTCTGTCAACACTGCTTGCTTAAGACTTTTTTGCTCGTGCAAAAAGTTTAGTTTTTGTATGCCCCAAAACCAACAAGGTGCTGAAACTGCCTAATGCTCCTAATAGTTGCACTGCTCTTGTCTTCCACAAGAACCAGAAAATATTTCCAAAAGACTTTTAAAATAAAGCAAATGTTATTAGTGGGTCAGTGTTAAATCAAATGTACTACATACATGGGCCTGTCAGACCTTTCAGAATTGATGGGAAATAAATGCTATTTAATGACTTCTATACTTTCCATGAGATTATCTTTGTCAGATTAATCTCAGTTTTGCATTTGGGAATGCACTAGGGAACCGTCTGTATACCCCTTGTTTGCCAACACTTTCAAAGAATATAGTTTGCACATTTATGGCTTTCAAGACTAAACAACAATCATAATCATAAAAAAGAATTTAAAATTTAGAAGAAAAATAAAAAGGCTGTAGAAGTAATGCAAATATAAGAAGCTTATTTAGCTTGAATTTTCAAAATAGTAAAAAATAAATGTTAGCTTTTAAAAAATTAGGAATTAATAGACCATGAACATTTTATGCCTGTTTGGGCAACCTCCAATGGACAATTCTGTATCTCCCTAACAGACTACGTACTCAGTTTCTTTGTTATGAACTTAACAGTATCACAAAAAGGACCAACGTTACTGCCTTTAACTCTCCTTCTGAAAAATAAAATAATGATTTCTGTAGTGTGGCAAAATGTATCATTCCAGTTTGACCTGTACAGAAAAGCTCACTACATTCTTAATTTATGCTTAGATATACAGAACATATTATCATCAGAACCTTAAAGCTGTTTCATGAACACATCCTTTCTATTCAATAACTTACAAAACTCTATGAAAAATGTATCAACATGCTGACTTTTTAAACCATAAGGTCTTATTCCTGCTTTCCAGAGTCTAAATATCTTAGCTATAGAGAAAGCACTAATTGCACTACAAAAGTCCTGCAGTCTTTAAAAAGTAAATATAGCATTTGCCCAATCAAGTAGTTTCTCACTATCTCTGCCATGTCATTGTTTGTTAAAATAGTTGGACCCCAAAACAGTTCTGTGCTATACCCGTCGCTGAAATTAATTTCCTAATTTAAAAGGTTCAGTGACCTGTAATGATATAATGATGTTGCGCGGTTATCACTCTTAGATATTATTTAATGCTGAAATATGCAAGATGGTCTAAAAGGTGTTTTATGTGTGTGCATACTCATAATTCCTATAATTAAGAAACGTTCAGGGAATATTTGTTCTGCTTACCATCTTTCTTGGTGGGTTCCGGCATTGTTACAAGGATTCTTTATTCCCAGTGAGTTTCAGTCTTTCAGATGCAGTAAGTAGTAGCCCCAAGTCCAGCTGAGAGAGCGTGCAGATCAGTATGACAAGCAGAGGGTAAGAAGAATTCCTCTGCTTTATATACTGCAACTGAAATATCAATCAAAATAGCACCTCCTCTCTTTTCAATGCAAACACTTTGAAAATTGACAGTTATGGGAACCCCTCTCACATCTGTTGTCTGCAGCCTCTGCTCCCTTGGCTTTTGGAAGGAATCTCTGCTGCATTGCATGGGGCTGATGAGAACATCTATAACTTTCTAAATTCAGCCACACAGCTCGGTCTCTGTGTCTCTCTCTGTAATATGCAGACACGCATACACACGCAGATAGAGGTTGAAAAAGTGGCTGCCATGCTATTAAAGAGCCTCTTCTGCCTGCAGAACTTACAGAACTACCTGTATACATTTATGCCCTTTACCACAACATAAAAGGGACAAATAAATATAGGCAGTGTGCCTGCAGTGGAACTTCCATTTCTTTCTTTTAAGAGAAAGTGGTATGCAAAGATGGAGTGAGAAGTAGAGTACTTTGCAACATTAATGAAGAAGAGGGGATTATTTTGTTCTTGTTTGGAGCAGTGAAGACCCTCCATATCTCCCTTCTCTTTACATTTGCTACGCTTTCTTGGGTCCTTTCCCTGTAGCCATCCTCATTTTGACTTTTGTAGAGACTGTAGTGCTCCTTTCAGCACTGCTACCTCATTAACTGGAGAGGTCACTGCTGAGAGATGAGATATTCTCTTTTTCACTCATCCAGGAGATGCAACACTCCTTACCTTTGCCAAGCCAGGGAACCAGACAGAAGGAATGGAAATCCTATCTGTAGCACATACACTGAGCCACTAAACTAAGCCACTGGGCTGCCCTCCGTTTAAACTCCTACTTAAACTATGAATGTGTAGGCCAAAGAAATGCAGGCCAAGTTAATCAGGAGGTAATAGGATTTGTTTTCTTATGCCTTTTTAGAATTTTGAGACAAAACTGTAGAGATTAGCGCAACAAGTAAAGTGGTCGTCAAGGGTTCCATGGAATTAAGACACATGTTCAAATCTTTATCACATGTCAATAGGAACTACACCATTACACAGAGGCTCAGTGTTTAAGTACACCCAAATGTTATGGAAAACATATTTTACATCTTTTAATATGAGTTAGAGGTGGAAGAGTGGTCATACGCCTGTTTATTCTGTAGCCAATGCGTGTTTGTTTCCTCTACAATCTGTTGTTTTCTGGCTAGTTAGCCACTTTCTATACATCTTATAAGGGATGGGAATTTCATTCCTCTTTTTAAGAGATGACACTACAATCTGCCTTTTTCTGCTCTGCTCATTGTGGTGTTTTATTATTTGACTGATTCCTGTGCCTGTAAAATACAGAGAAAGTCAAGACTCCCGCCTACCATGGTAATTCCTAGACAAGGAATATTAAAGCTATTTCCCTCCATTGTTTTATATCACTATGTAGGTAAACCTCCTTATATCACTGAAATAATTGTTGTCCTTGGAAAACAAAAAGAACGGTACCCTGAGTAGGGAACTGGAGATTTTGTCCCTCTGTGTATGATTGTGGTGGCAGTGGGGAATCAGTGCATGAACAGACAACAACATTGCAGAGGTTTTTTCCTCTTCCCCTTTCTTCTACTCACATCCAGGCACCAAACACTATCACAGCTGGAACCAGAGGTGGATGAAGAGCAACTGCTGATTCTCTCCAGCAGGGTGTTTCCTGAGTGGCTCCTTGTAAGATATAAAGACATTTTGCCTTGCGTTTCACTCATCATGTGCCAAGAGGTGCTGAGAGGTGTCTGGAGATGATTACAAACAGCATTAAATATGGTCACAGTCTAGCACTGGGTGTGTTAGAGAGGGCCTCCATTGCAATCCCATGGTGAGAAAGGACTAGAAGCCAGTGCTTATCCTTACATCCTTAAAAGGCTTCCTTTCCAGGGAGAGGAAGAAGGGTATGCAGGAATTCTAACTCATGGACTACTTCATATTACTAAATACATATATAGTGAGACCACTCACTGGCCCAGAGACCAAGTGAAAGTGTGTAGTTCTCATCCACACAGCAAAACTCCCTCTCTAGCCCTAAACAGGGAGCATGCAGCCAAAATGTTGGCTGCAACAGGGAATGCTGGCATGTGCCTGAGCTATGCTTAGACAAAGGCAGGAGACTGTTAGTTTGCCTGAGCGAAAACGGTACCAGGGAGCATGCTAACCATCCCCCAGCATGGATAATCACAGGACAACACTTGAACCCATGCCCTAGACCTGCTTTATTTATGGGTATAGGCATGACTAGAAAACTAAACTGGCTGTATAACCTCTGCTAGGCAGGAAGGGAAGATAGGTTATGTGTAGAAAAAAATCACGAAACACTGTAGCTGCCCTTGTAGTGTGTGGAGAAGTGTGTATTTCTTGAGCTCTCTGTTTTGTAAAGACCAGCTGACATTGCAAGCAAAAGACTCTTCAGCTGCACAAAATACATTGAAACTATGGAGTAGCAATCTTCTGAAAATTTGCTCAGCCTTTGACTCTTTCCTCCCCTTACGTTATACTTGCATAATTAATTGCATTTCGTATTATGTTTTCTTTTACTCTCATAAAAATTCCCATGTTGCAACTTTTCTGTAATGTAATTTTTAATTGTATTTTAAAAGATGCCACTCAGGTAGATTTAGGCTGTGATGTCTCAGTGTACCTTCTAGTAGCAGTGACAGGGAAAGCAGTTTATTTCCTAAGAGAGTAAGCCATATTTTTTTGTTTCAGTCCAATTCCCAGCTGAGTACATGCCTCCAGCACCTGCATATACTTCACACTCCAACCTAAGAGAAACTAGGCATTTAAGTTCATTTTTTTTCCTGCACAAATGTTGTCACAATGTTGACCCCATCTTACTTGTGCCATAACAGTTATTAGTACTTTGGTGTTATTGGATAGATGTCATTCAGAGCTTTCTTTCTTAAACTTCTTTTCCACGTATGCAGAGGGCATGGTAGTCAACAAACTTGCCTTATCACTGCCTACAGCAGAGATGTTGATTTTGGCCAACAATTGCCCAAATTGCTTTAAGACTGGTTAAAAAAACAGGAAAAAACTGAAAAGAAGGAAATGCCTGACCTCTTTGTTGTTTGGTTGTTTTTTTTTTCCATTTTCTAAACTTATGCTTCTTGGATCACAGACATGTCTAAACACAGTTACAATTATCCGTTTAGCAAACCTGTTCACTCTGTTAATAAAGGCATTTATCTATTAATTTTATGAAGTTCAGATTTATAAATATTTTTTTCCTGCAGTCCTGCTATTCTAGCCTATATCACTCAGCTGATTTGACTGCAACTCATCATGTGAAGGAGCTGAGCCAGAAGAGGAAGCATTTAGCTTCTCTGCGCTGAGCACACAGCTCCTGAGCACATTAAAGGCCACAAACCACCTTTTGATTCAGCTGCCAGCCTACTTGCCAAATGACTGAGCCGGAACCTTTGCAGAAATTGTGAGGTGGAAAAAGCTAAGCTCCACATTGTTTCTAGCCCACCTCCTGTACTTCAGTAGATAGCACTAGAGGCTGTGCTGATCCCAGGCATCTTTTCATTAACTTACCCTACCGCTAAAAGCCCCCGTGTTTGCACAGGTTGGCTGCCTCATGTCTCTGGATGGAAATGTCCCTTCCCATAACTTGATATTCTCCTTCCATAAATTGGCTTGTGACCTTGTATTTTGCCCTTCCGTAAAGTGAATGTCTTCTGACCAAAATTTATCCTCATTGCAGTATGGCTTTTGTGTACCACTGTAAGCCCACTTCTCAGCCACCTCAGGGGCCAAACATGCTAAGCTCTCTGAGCCTTTCCCTTCCATGTCTGCCCCAATTAATCTTCTGTGGTCTCTTTCCAAAACATGACTATCCTATTTTAACTCTGCTCGGCTCCTTGAGCAGTGTCCAAACAGCAGCTAACCAAGGCGTCAGATAATTAAATCATTCTCTCTCGTCTGTTTTTAATAAATTCCCCTGGTCAAACATCCAAAGCCCTTATATGCTCTTGCAGCTGCCATATCTGCATCCATAACTTCATATTTGCTGCTATTCCTAGGACTGAACTCTCTCACTTACTTCAGTCTCTATTCTAGTAAGTCACTGTCTGTTTGTTACCAGAGAAAAATCTTTGTCTTGTCACCAAGCCAAAGGATCAGGACATTTCCAGAAGACCTCAGAGACAAATCTTTAACCAAACTTTATTTAAAAATTTTCCACGGAAAGGTTTTATTGATATTAAGAAAAAAAGTGATTGATTTAAGTAAGAATGCTAGGCAGAAACGAACAGTTTAGATGACAGTAGGAAAGGATTCCCAGTCCACACAGGACAAAATCTGGAAATAACATGAAGTGCTGGCATGTCTATGCATGTTCATTACAAAATAAACAGCATCTTGGTTCTATTCTAGTAAAGTATCCAAAGCTTTGAAGTCTTATGTAACAGAAAACCATTTTAACCAGTTTTAATATTTGGAGCTTTGGAACCTCTAAAAATCAGTTATTTACTGAGCCCCAGGATGAAGGATAAGAAGTGGCAACAGACGGAGCTTTCCCTCCCATCAGGTGGAACCCATAAAAACATTTCTCCAGGAGGATGCTGGAATGAGGTTTGACAATGCTCAAGCCCCATTTAAGTCCCACGTGCCCTCCCACCAGGCACAGGGCCTGAGAATCCTGTTCTCTATGTCTACAGCAGAAACGCATTATAGTGACATCATTTTGGGCTCAGATTCTGCCTTGGCCATGTATGCTACTTAAAATAGGACATTATAGATTTTAGTGAATTTCTTTCTTTTGATATTACTCATAATCCACAGAGCATTTTTTCTTTTCTACCAATAAAAATAACAAATCAATTATTTCCATTTCTACCATGCTGGCAAGTGGAAGACTGAAAACGTGCAACTGAAAAAGGCACAACTCTTTTTGCAAGAGAAGGAAGTACCTCAACATGGTAGAATGCTGCATCTCAGAATATCTGTTACTTTTTAAGTCCCTGTCTAATTTTTGAAGGCAGTCC